CCAGGAACGTGAAAGGAGTATGGAAAAGACAAGATGGGAATTTGTGCACGATCTCTAATCCGAAAAATGTGGGACTGAACGTGCTGTGAATTCTCAAATGGCACACATGTTGTTTTAGGGAAATTTCTTCATTGACTTCCCGATTGAATAAAGTCATATATAATTTGCCATAGGTGAAATACCTGACGAGAGACACAGAGAGCATTGGAGAGAAAACCCTCGCGGGAGCATTTCACCCTCAAATTACTGTTTTTTACGATACACAAGGTAAAATAAAGTATTTATGCCCAGTTATTATAAGATTTTATACACCCTTTTGTGTGGCTATAAATTTATATTGACGAGTAGGTTAAGAACGCGAAATGATACAGTAAAAGAAAGTTACTCGCTGAATATGGTTTGTGTGTAAAATTGCGTGAAGCCTTGCTGAGCTGCAGTCAATTGTGATTCTTTGCATCAGAACAGCTACAGTCATTTGAGTTTTTATTGATGAACCAATTCTCTCTAGTGTTCGAATGGAAAATCCATGTTATTTGCAGTTTGATAAATTCAATTTCCATTCAATTAAAGTATTTAGGAATTCGAAATGAATTTTTTGCAGACAATAGCTGTGAATTGAGCTAAATATGTGGGATTCTTTAAACCACACCGCGAACACCTCACCACTCTCAAGCTCTTTTCACTCCCATCAGTTAAGCGGATTGGAGGAGAATATCGACGCGCTGGAGTGTGCAATAAAGGGATATTGCAGCGGAATTGAATTCAATGGATTTCCCTGGGATTCACGTGAATGGATATACGGAAGAGCTGCTATTGGGATGAAGGAATAAAAGCCGGGCACATTACCAAACACTATCTACTTAATCAGCCAGCATTTTATATATTTTTCTGCCAATTAACAAGACCTTCTTTTGCCAGCTGAGGAAAATCCCAACAACTTCCTCTCACAGATAAATCCTTCCACTCGGATTTTTCCACCACTTCCAACAGCATCGGAGAAAAAGTTGTCTTTGGCACTTGGAAATTCCTTGTCGCCCGTTTGAATATTTGCCAAGAAACTTTTTACTCAGCGAGTGCAAAATAGGGGATGAATTGTTTTCAAGTGCGTACTAAAGTCACATTCATACAATACATAAACTTGAGCAGAAGAATAGGTACAAGTGAAAACTTTCCGCATTTAGGATGAAGATTTTCTTCTGCCAACTGAAAAGCCTTGTGTGTCAAGTGGTGTGAGATGTAGTTTGAGGGGTGGTATTTATATTAAATTTATGCTCCCAATGCATCTTACCAATCACTGAGAAAATCTCTCTCACTTCGAGGAATCGTCACTCTAAAATTCTCTAAGATCGTAAATGCTTTGCAACATCTTGCCCCAATCGAGAAGCATTCAAGGCTCAGTTCAATGCAAACGAGATGCTGTATCGCCCAAGCGGAGAACTTGCTCTCCTACACCAGCTGCCCATCGTTCGTATGTAATTTGATAAATTATTCACTACATAAGACGACACAGTTGAGTGCCATAAAAACCGGAGAAGCACTTAATATCACTTCGTCGTCAAAAGGAACGCTCGTTTGGGCGGTAAAAGGAGCGAGACAGAGTCTTCATTTCACTCCACGCTTCGCCCAAAACATCTTCATCACTTGCAATTTTGTGCTTCCATATCACTCGAAGAATTGTTTCAATTGATCTTTTTATGCCTTATCCCTTTTGCTGTCACGACTAAATGACATGCGAAAACTCATGATATATTTTGAATATTTCACCATCAGCTTTCTTTTCCCAATAAATTCCCGTTCGACTTCATATCTGAAATATTATACAGTTCTAAGGAAACTTTTTATTGATGATTTACATGGATTTTATATGACCTTCGTTATTTTTGAGGCAGTTTATTTAAATTTCCGATCAGAAATTAAATACATATTCTATCGATTTTTTTTTATTCCTGAGCAAACTTTCCTCAACTGTGTATCGCAATGAACGAAGAGACGTCACAATCCGTTTTTTTTTGCATCAAAGTTTAACTTCGCACTTATCGTATATACAATTGACACGCCAGAACTTTTCCGAGATGCCAGGACAATTCATCGCAGAGTAATTCTCGTGAGATGTCTGTATGCACTTTTCAGCATAACACAATGCAATCCAAGAGACAGGGTTTACTTCCTCCTTTAGGTAGGAAACATATTTTTCACTCCTTTCCAGCTCTCACACTCAGCGGAAGTTTTTCACCAAACTTGGAGAGACGTTGGCTGAATGTCTCACAAATGAATTTCTCCCATGAATAAATCACATGGGGATGAAATAACAAGAGGAAAATTCGTGATATGCCACTATGGGTGGCAGATGTGAAGCTGAGAAAAATCCACCAGATGATGCCTGTCCACTGAAAAATATCCTCAACCACCCCTGAATTCCACCCTCACGCCCGGCACTCGACGTCTTTTGCGGCGAAATCCATGCAAACGATCACGCAATCATCGCTCAGGAACGCCACTCTCGAGCCATACAATTAAGTGCGATATGGGATGAAAAATTACACGAAATTAACAGACTGTGCGTCCTCTCTTCGCATTTACATAATATTTTATTACTGCCAGCACTATGGATCGCTGCGAGGGTGCGAATGGCTGTGCAAAGCGAATTGAAACTTATCTAGGTTGGGATGAAGATAATTGAGAGGAATTTCACCCACCAGCAATATCAGATAAGCGATTCACACTAAAAGTGTCAGGATGTGAATTCACACTATCGTGTAATTTCGTGGAATTTCCACTCTATTCCACGCTTCTGGATAAAGAATTCCTCACTGAAGGAATTCGCATCCACTATGTATAATGGGCTGAAAACACGGCCTTTGAAGATCGATACATCAGGTAGAAATAGAAAGGGTGAAAAGCCAATTTTCCAGCGAAAGATTGAGGAATTCCATCAAAGCAGCATAAATTATGAAAGGATATTTCATTGATTTGTTTTTACTGATACAAAACGAAGCATTCCTACCTTGCAGTGAGAATAATGACGTGAAGAATTGGCAAAATTAAAGCCATTTCCGCACGTAAATTGTCCACCAGTGATGAAAGATGAATAAAATATGATTGCGTGATCTTAATCCCTCATGATACATCTTGCTTCCTTCCAACTCTGAATGCGAGGGCATTTCATTTCTTTTATTGCTCTCGCCCACCCGCCAAATCGTGGTTCTCACGCTCGCTGTCCACGAAAATGAATACTATAGCAGATATATATAGCAGCAATTGAATGTGCGGGGGTGAGTTTTGCTGAAATGCCACAGTGTGAGCGAGATACGGAATAAAAAAGCGAATGGCCTGAGCGGGAAGCCCATCAAATTATTTTAAATAAACGACGAGCGCCTGTAATTTATGAAAAATAGCCACCCAAAGTCGCCTCCTTAAGTCTCCAATGAGCGTGGCACCTTTTATGAGCTCATTTCGCAGCTGGAGGCGACGCTTCCGGAAGGCGATGCTGTTCTTGGCAATGTCATCAGCTCGGCGGGTGTCACAGAGCGTCTCACCGACCGTGCGAGCGTACGAGGAATTGCATAAAATTTCGATATTTTAATACTTAAGGGATTACCGTTTGTTTTCCTACTCCAGATAAAATATTTCACTCTTCCGGACGCCTTTCAGCATGGGCATGACGCAGGGGAAGAAGCTGGAAAATAATAAAACTCAAATCCGCAGAATTCTCCCTTTTGTAATTCCTCTGGCGCCTTCACTTCAGCATTTTATTGCTGGTCGTTTTTCTGCCCTTCCACGTCCACTTTTTGCACCCAAGCAACATTCCTTTTCCCTATATCATTGATCATCGATTTAAAAGTGAAACATTCCACAAGAGAAAGGATGAAAAATTCCCACCGAAACGCAATAAGGCGATAATCAGAAGCAATTTCCAGGACCCTAGGGCCCTGAAATTGATTGTGAAGAATTGTACATAGGGCGCGATTATAATCATGAGATTGTTTAAAGTGTCAATTGGGATGTTATTTATGACGGGCCGAAGGATAGGCCGGAAAACCGATGGCGTAAATTTAGCATCTATATTTATTGCGTGTCTCTCAAGATAGAAAGAATCTACCTCAAATCTATCAGCTATCTACTATAAAATTTAATGGATCATTGACAATTTCAGTATAATTAAATTTAAGTTCGTATACAAGTCATGACTGTCCATCCAGAGTGCAATGTTAATCATTGAGCAGTTATTTTAAACATTCAGTCTGCAATATCAATTAGCGAAATGCAGTTTTCACCCTTCAATTAAGTAATTATAGTAATTTATAAATTGAACCATATTTAGAGACAAATATATTTCACCTTTCTGCCTTCGGGGACACGATTGAACACAGCCAATTTTTTGTGATAAAAAATATCTGAACACTGCAAAAAGCGAGGGTGATAAATTATGGGCAATTCTGGGTGCGGTAGAAAACACGAAAGACGTATTCAATTGCCCTTACATGGGTAAACATTGACTGTAGTGCAGAAACGCTAAAAGCCACCCGCGCTGGAGCTACGCATTGAGGCTCATTCAGGAGCTATCCATCATTAGATCGCAGCCACGAATCAGAAATCCGGAGTCGAACACGACAATATGGCATGAATCACGGAACAAACATGGGCCACTTGTCTAGATTGAGCGTGGATAAATCATATTTTGTTTATACACACAAGTCAATGAAGGTCGCGTGGGAAGAAGTGCCATCAGAGGGACAATTTTCAAGCTGCAGAAAGGAGCCGAACAACTCCTGTGGTGGAGGAAATTGGAAACCATAATAGCTTCCCTTTTTCTTATCGATTGCCAATTATGTGTGTCGATTTATATGAGCTCCATATCCCACACACATCACCTCCACAGCACAGGCTCCCATTTCTCTGCCACTCACCACTGGATAAATGCACGGAAATTGTGAAAATTTCTACCTGTTTAGCAGCAAATTAATAACAATTAAAGTGACAGCTTGTTGCTTTCACTCTCATTTTCTTCACAAATGTTCCTTTTTATTAGTTCTTTCTTCATGTTTTTTTTTATACAAATTCACGATGATATATGTAGGTACAGTAAGTCAGCTGAAAAATACTCAATGAAATGAATATTAATACCATTATTCAAATTAAGGGTGGTTTTCTATTCTAGCTGTGATTCGCCGTTCCTAAACTCGTGATTACGGAAATTACATTGTATTGTATGCCAAAATGTTCTTAAATATCTTAATAAACTGGTGTTATCAGCTAATTTCATTTATAATTAATCCTTACAGTGAGTGTTAGTATTTAGTTTACCATTCCTTCCTTAATCTTTTTACGCTATGTTTATGTGAGAGTGAACTTGATTGCAGGAAAATTGTCAGTAAAGTAATGGAAATTGTAAGGAGAAATTCGACATTCTTAATTTATAAATAAATATATTTAGAAATAATTGACAAAATTTGTCCATTCTATTATGGATGTGTGTTCTATTAGTTCCAAAAGTTATTCTATTATTCTCATTTTAAGCTACAATTATAGTTTTTCTCTTCAGATATTCATAATTATACTTGACAAAATAGAAACTTATTTATTATGTATGGTATTTTCTCAATATCTCTCCTATTGATTCAGTGATAAAGTGTCCTAATGTATTCATCAATCGATCTCCACATTAAACTTTCATAATATACCTTCACATTCACCTAAAAAAGTTTCCTTTTTGGTCATTTTCACCATCTCTCTGTCGACGTTCTAGAGTGTACACAGATAAAGTAGGAGGAAAAGCACGTCGACTAAAGAGAGAAAAAATGCTTTCCTTACGCAAATTGGGTATAAAAAATATTAGTCATTTGTATCACTCAATTGTACTCACATCAAAATACAACATGACACAATCCTCCTTCCGTTGTGGAAAATATTCACTCCTCTCATCATCCTCTCTTACCCTAATTTAGCACTACCAGTGGCTTATGATATAAGTTATGATCGCTACTAGAATTCTCGTTAGACTACAGCTTATGAAAAGTCATAATGTGATGGCAAATAGCGCAATATTCTATAGACATCCTCTCCTAAATCATTCCTTTTCCCGCTTCTTATGAATAAAACTGATGTGTCGTCACGCAGAATGCTAAACCTTAATTCCATTAACATATACCTTATCGCCTCACTAATGAACTCTTTTTACACTTGACCTATAAAATTATTACGATAGAAATTGATTGCTGAAGAAATTGTGGGCAACTGAAGCGAAAATCTGACACAAATGTCTTCCTTTCTCCACGCAATGCCTCAAATTCCTTCCCCTTTCTCTACACAGACTTTAATTATTTACAAAGTCTCTAATTTACTTTCATAGGTCTGATTTTAATCCATATTTCTTTTCATCATCACTCACATCGTACTGTAATAGGGGAAGTCTTCTATGCTAAACTTATCCCGCTTAATGCATAATATATGTCTAATGCTGTTGCGTGTCTTTTTTTTCAAACTGTCTCTCTTCCTCAATTGATGCACGCGTTCCGAAGAATGCTCGAAGTCGTCTGAGGAAATTGTTAGGATTGCTGTTGTGTGAAATTTTCATATTTTTCCGACAAGACTCACGCAGTGGTATTTAGAAAATTCGTGAAATTTATTACACATCTTATATAGCTCTTTCACCATAATGCCTCACAGTATTTTTCCCCCAATTGACGATATGGGAATAAAAGTGAGGGAAATGAGAACGGAAGGCAACAGACAATTACTATCCGTGCACTCACTGGCATATAATCCCTCACTCTCTTTCTCTCTCTCGGTACAATCACACGGAAATTGTAGCGCATGACAGTACAAAACGGGAAGAGAATCTTTCAGTGAGAGGAAAAAATCTATTAAAGAATTTCCATTCAATTGGTATCGCCGCGTCTTTTATCCATCAGCCACAAGGCTTAATCGCGTGCCACTTTATTTCACTTTCACACTGGGTGAAATTCAATGGAAAATCCGCAGAATGTAGGCGACAGTCGATGAGGAGAAGATATGCAAAATATCAATGAGAATCACCCATCTACAATTTTTTTTCTTCTTCCTCCTCCTCCTCCTTCAAGAGGGGAGACCCCGAATATCACGCACTTTCACTCTCATTCACCCACAATGAATATGTAATGCTTTCATATTTCACCGCCTAACAAGGATCTCCTTGCCATTCACCCTCGCCGAGGTAAAGACACAGCCCAAGGATGTATAGCAGAAGTGAAGAATTCGGTGTGGCGCCAGAGGACAGTGACGACAGTGACACATTTTGGAAAGTTTCGAAAGCCAGCTTAATCGCCGACTAATGATACCTCATGAAGAAGTAAGACTTTCTGCTACAAAAATACATCTTCTCCCCTCCCTTTCCACTTGTGAAGCCGATGAAACACTTCGCTTTTCCATGTGTTTTCGGAAATAACTTGAGCAGCTAAAGTAGGTTGAACTTACTGTGAATAAATTAAATATGAATTACAAGAAAAAGGCTAGAAAGTAAGGGTTTGACAGAATGATTTCATTTAGCGGGAAAAATCGAAGAAATACTCATTATATTAATAGTGTATTCATTGAGATCATTATCAAACGCACAAAGGTATTCACAATAACCTCAGCACGGTTATTATTATTATTCAATGTGCACATGTATTGTATATAAATCAGGAGACACATCAATTATTTTTCAATTTAGGGGCGCGTGCGTTCAGTCAAAGTTTCACTGAATTGTATAGTCTTAAGCGCGACAATTACGCATATATGTAAAGGGAATTACAGTAATAGACAGTGAGTGATCCTTTACCATTCATTAACAAGGGCATCGACACATTTTCCGCCAGACTCTCTGACATTCATAGAAATTCACCACCCTTGCTGCCTTAATAATGACTTTGAAGAGTCCTTTATTCATCTTGCGTATTTTCCTTTCAGCACAGATATCATAAAAATCATATAAAAGGCGTGAGGAAAAAAATCTGGGTCACTCACAATCTAACAATAGATAAAATAAATTGAATTTCATTTCTTCCACTTATCCCCTGACTCACACAGTGACCAAAAGGATTTTCAGTGCACCGCCCATAAGTTACTCTTCAGTCATTATTAATTCCATTCAAGGCATTCACTCTAAATGATTGATTCCTGAGAGCTATTTTTAGGCCAACTCAATAAGGGCGACAACAACCTGTATTCATTGCAAATTCAACTCGAAATTTTCCATCTGCTGAACAATTTTCTCGGAAAATCCTCCGCACTACTTCAGGGCAAACTTGCCAGCCGGAAATTCTCCTTTCACCGCCGCCACAACCCCCAGAGGGTCTCCACCGACGCTGAGGAATAATGATGGTGAAGCTCGGGTAATTATAAATGACATTTCCATGTTTTCCCAAAATCATCGCATGTATGGGCGGGCTTTTGCAGGAACGGAGATGGGAGGATTTGATATTTTGACAAGACATGACGCGTGGTGTTATTGAAAGTATAGTATGTACACATGAGATGAGCATGTTTGCGAAATTAAATCCAAAGCCACAATATTCAAATAGCTCAAGAGATTTTGCAGTCACTAAGTCTTGCTATTCACCCTCTTGCCAGGCTACCAAATAAGACGTAATTTTCCTCAACGGGCCTTTTTCCATCCCCGTAGCGGATTAATTGATGAATTTCTTCTCATTTACATGCATCGCAACTGTCTGTGAAATTGATTGTTTCATTATTTCAATTCCCTTCCTCCTCTATCCCGATAGATCTGTACAATATTCACCATTTCCACGCTTTTGCATCTGTATGGGTAAAATGATGGAAAATGAGTTAAATCCCATACAGTTTTTTTGCGTTCACAGTTTTCTTCACACAGCGACAGAAGCTCATTTTTCATTCATCAACCCAAAGTAGCACAATGTGGATTTCCTTGCTAAATACCTCACTTTTCTAGGTTTCATCCTCACTCGTAATCCCTTTTCGTCTCTGGTGGAAATATAGGGGAGATTTAGTTGAGTGCAATCCTTTTTTTTCATGCTGAAAAAGTGCTGAAACTTAAATTTCTACATACATATATTGAAATATCTACTATTAATTCCAAATTATCTTCTATAGCTTTGATAAATAATTTCCTGGTCAATCATTTTCTCTTCTCCTTTATCCTTTTCGCACACAATACAGATATATTTTTATTTTATAGACTTTTTGGCATATCGCGCATAGATTCATTCCAGTGACAAGAAGCACCATCAGAAGGAAAGATCAGACACATCGACGGAGACAATGCGATAGAGTGACAATGGTCTTGATGGGATGAGCTTTAGATGAAGAATGTCTGAGGACAGTAAAATAATTTAAGTCTACCTACTTGATCAGCGATTACTATGTACAAAGATCAGCTGCAGGTTTGCCGAAGCGGAAATTAGCAGAGCATGGCCACCATTACTGTCTGCAGACTGATAAGCGAGGCGGCCAAGAGTGTCCAGGAAGCGGCGCTCGAGTGGAGCCCCAAGTCAACCATTCCGATGGACTCCCTGGAGAGCGGGACTTCAGTGGGATCGCTCAGCTCCTCTGGACAGGGAAGATTCTCAGCACCGAAGTCCAGAACTTGCACTTTGCGGCCAACATCGATGTCTCGTTGCTCGAAAGCGAAGGTATCGCCCTGATTATCGTAGCCGGCGTCATCGTAGTAGTCTCCATTTCGGTCGTTCTTCTCCTTCACCGTATTCGAAAAGATTTCCTCGGGCACGCTGTTCCTGTCGTACAACATGCAATCCACCTCCTTCAGACTGCGTGCCAGTTCATGGTTTGTCGTGCGATTCTTCAGATCGTAGATCCACATTAGTCGACAGTCACAGACGAATCGGTTATCTGCAGATTGCAAAAGAAAGAAAAACATCAGTCTCTCCCTGCTATTTCGCCGTACAGAACTTTGCGTGCAATATTTCGGGAAATTTATGACCTGCGAGTATCCCTCAATTTGTGCACAGAAGCGGAAACACGGGGAAGGATTAATTGAAAAAAAAAGAGGACAAATATTCTGTAGCGGCAGGAAGCGGGAAAAAAAAACACGATGGGAATTTCACTAATGAGATCGCAGACAAAAATATTACAGCGTGTCCCCGTCCAATTCGTTTGGGTAAAATCCTCTTTCTACTCGCGATGTGGTACTTCATCTTCGTGAAGCTTTTCCGCACACCAAAATGAGCCTTTCCATTTCCTATCCTAACAGCAATATATGAGCATGTATTTTCACAACAATTTCTGGTGTAACTCTCTTGTCCTGCAGGATGAACGGCTTCACCCCGTTTCGCAAGGACGAAGCGCAAGCAAAGGAAGCCGGCAAGGAAAAAGTGAAGCAACTTCTTTGATTGAATTAGAACACGCTTTTGCAACTTTTAATTAGACAAACTCATGAGATTGAGTGAATCGCGAGCTGAGGCGTGCACAGCGAGCATGAGGAGACAATAGACGGCATTTTATCACCTCCCACGCCCCAGCTTTCGTGCGGTGTGAGGAAGGTGAAATGAAGACACCATCGAGCAGCACTTTGCTCGCGCTGCCTGCTTATGCTGCTGGGGGGTGTTCAGCAGCCCACCCCAGAAGATAATTACCATTTGAGACAACGGAGCGACGCTGCCAAGCAAACACTGAGACGGAGAGTTTTCATGGTGTCACACAACTTGATTGACTGATCTTCCGGCGTAAATTTCATGCCACTTGTTACCCTCGGCAACACACAAAATAATTATTATAAATTTTAACAAACTGCAAATGAACCTTTTCACTTCATCTTCCTCAACTTCCATCTGCACTTCACTTCGCTCTCGCGCAACCCGATAAGCATACCCATGAGAAATAAGAGCTTTAAGAATGTGCACAGAGTTGAAGCTCAAGCAGTTGCAGCAAAAAGACATACAATTGCTTGGCTATATAGAGCGAGATTAACTTACTCAAACGCTAGAGTGCTTCTTATTTTGAGCTCTTACAAAATTCTGCAACTTTTTACAACACGAGAAGTCGAATAATTTACGTGTGAAGGAAAGCATTTCAATGAAGTATATTTTTTTAGTATTACTAAACAATCTGCGTTTCAATGTGAGTTCATACGTCACTGAATTTCCTGCTTTAACTTTCTCCACGCCGAGAAGACTTTGCATGTCTTGCAAAACTGTGAATGATGGGAGAAACATCGGGAAGATTACCAGAAACAAACAGCACGATGATGAATTTTAAGAAGAGCATCAGAGCGAATGGTGGAAATTCATTCAAAGTTTGTCCTACATATCCTGTTTAATAAGATATACATGCGGCTTTAGCTGCTCCCTCCACAGTCCCCGAATTGTTGTTGTGCCTCACATGCCTCATCGGAATTGCTTCGTGGCTTTGAGTACTTCCAAAAACACAAACTTCTGACATCATTTTCTACACTTCACTAGCAACATAGGCATGCTGACCAGAAACTCTCGGGAGATGAGAAAATTAATTTGGCATTGTTCTAGGTCAAGTTAGATGCCAAAAGAACTTCAAGTCGCATGAGAAATCTGCATAAACTCACATCGTAAAATCAATTACAAATTTCCAATTAATTTGTTCGCATAAATATCAACCATGCATAACAAAATCGTTTTCGGCGAATATTCTTTGCATAAATTGTAGAGGAAGTGCTTTTTTCGCTTCGAAATTGAAGCATTCTTCTAGCGTTTTATCTTGCCAGAATCTTCCTTGTGAAAATTCCAGAGATCCCCATTGAGATAGGAAAACAGTGCTTTCACCCATTTGAAATGCTGGCAAACGACAGAGAGAAGGAGGGAAAATTGTACTCCGTCTCTTCAACAATTTACAAATTTTCTCCCATCAAATGCTATTGCGGAATGTAATAGTTTCCCGAGGGTGTAATTGAAGTGGAGCATCGAGTTTTTCCTCGAAGGAAATACATATTCTTCAACGAATATCCATTCCACCTTTGGCAAGGCGAGAACGCGAAGCGACGGTCGACAGGGTGGATTTGAACAGAAAATCCCAAAACGCTGAATGGTGAAAATCTTTCAGGAATTCGCCCTGACAGAATATTGTAAGCTATAAAATCGATTACATGAGTCGCCAATCTTCCCATCATCCGCCTTTTTCACTCTGTCTTCATTTCCATGTAACTTTCATGCATGATATCACTTCTCGTTAACCATTTCTCCCGATGTTTCGGTTGATGACTATTTTCTATTCACTTTAAAGTAGACTTGCGAGTTCTGGTGGTTTCTCTTTTTCTTTTTTAATTTCAGCCCTTTGGCAAGTCTCCCAATCTCCCTAATACTCAATTACACAGTGTCCGAGAGTGGCGTTGGCTCCACGCCCAGTGAACTACCCCTTGGCAGCGTCTAGCGGATCAATGCGCGCACTTGGAGGACATAAATTTCAGCGACACCGATGCCAAATCATCAGACGTCCACGTAAATTCGGCAGATAACCCACAGCGGAGCATCAGATACCATGCCTTGCCACGGATGCGGCGGAGCGAAAGGAGCGGCCAACGAAGAGCCGTCCCGAGAGCATTATTATCGCAACGACGTGTCACCCGCAGGTAAGATGCTATCTCTGACGATAAACAGACGGCCTAACGATCCATTCCGGATGTTCACCTTCAGCAACAGTCAATTTTCGTGTCGTCGCCACGGCATGCGAATTGTATGGCAGGCGCACTGCGGGCGATTCCACGCGAGGGAGGGAAAGTTTCAGGGAATTTTCACGAGGGCCATTCCAAACACCCCCGGACGGATGCTCAATCGATCGATTTGTGAAAATTTGCATCTCAAAGAAAAATAGGTAATATCTGTAATGGCGAATGTATACCTACAATTGAGCAGTGGCGCACAGGGGATAAATTACCTCCGGCGCGACTGGCAGGGAATAATTTGAAATCCCATCATCGTCTCCCCTGTCTTTTCCCATTATATGTATTATTTTATATACCTTTTGCTCGTGTAACTTTTCAAAAGTGACTTTTCATTGCTTTTTTTGAACTTTTCAAAACGATCGTTTGACTTGTGAGATTTCAAAAATTTCCTCATCTCCCAATATTTCACGGAACTTTTGCAATATTCTGAAAATATGTAGCTTTCCCGGGTATTTTTCCCACATTCCCAAAGACAATGAGGAGCAAGACAGTTTTTCTTGCCTGTTGTGCGGAGTTGGGGTGGTGAAGGAGCCGAAAGGTGGAAGTAGAAATGAAAGAGAACGGTTGATGAAGAGACCAAAGTAAACACACAATCAGATTGTATCGCAGGAAGATGAGGAGGGAGAAAGAGTTCCCTGAGGACAGGCCAATTAAAATTATAAAATAAACTCATATTGCAATACATAAGCGAAATTTTTGGCCGCATTTTTCCCTTGGAGAAATCCACCCCAAAATCATCCCCTCAGCATTGTTATTGTTTGAACATTTAACACACCACTTGATACACGGTAAGCAAACATTGTCTAGAAACGTGCGGAGATATTATTTCACCCCTTTTGCTGGAGCTTTTTGCGTCCCAGCAAAAACCCATCATGAGGTTGAACTCTTCTGCTATTTGCCGGCAAGCAGAGGTAAATCTCTCGCCCATAAATGGAATTGTCTGGCTGCCCTCAATTAATGTCCACCCCCATTTCAAACGCTCTCTCTCGCCTATGCCAACCTCGCACCCATTTTGCACCATCAACACTTCATTCTCTTGCACTCTCGGCCGCTTTTTTCGACGGCGCGAGAGAGAGAGAGCTTTATTTGTCGCCATGGGCAGCCTGTGAGTGCGACACTGCAATTTTTCATCGTTGCGTGCAAACAATGGGATTCAATTAAAATGGACATGCTGTGGGCAAAGTGGAGAAGAGTTGAGAAACTCACCAGAAATCCCGAGCACGCTGTCAACACCCAGCAGGTTGTCCCAAATGGGAAGGAAGTTGTTGTAAGTGAGCGTTTCCAGTTTATTGTCGTTGAGATAGAGAGACTTTAGGGCCGGCACCACCGTGAAGACGCCCTTCTCCAGTGACACGAGGTGATTGTGGCTCAGCTTGAGCAATTTCAGATTGTTGAGTCCATCGAAGGCCCTTTCGGAGATTTTCTGTTTAAGGGAAAACATACTGAAATTTTTCATACATTTCAAACAACCGCAAATTCTTTACCTCAATGCGATTGCTGTCCAGATACAATTCCTCGAGACTCCACAGCTCGGCGAACACGGTGTCGCCCACAAAGGTGATGTGATTGCCAGAGAGATCGAGCACATTGAGGTTGCCGAGTCCTTTGAACACCTCTCGGCTGAGGATAGCAATCAAGTTGTACTGGAGATAGAGCTCAGTCAATTTGCCCAGGTGGATAAACACCTCATCATGTAGACTCGTGATATTGTTATAGCCCAGAAGCAATCGCTCCAGATTGGGCAGATTGCTGAATGCGTGTCTGTCGATGTCCATGATTTCATTGAACTTCAGATTTATCTCCACGAGGGCGGGAAGGTGGACGAATGCGTGCCTCCGCAGAGCGTACATGCTGCAGTTCTTGAACTCCACCCGCGTAAGATGACTCCTGTTGGATAGCGTATAGCTTCCTATCTCCGGCACCTCAGCATATTGCACGGAGAAGTCCTTCAGATTGGGCAAGTGGTGGATGATTTCCGTTGGAATGTGGGTCAAATTGCCGGGCTTGTACACGCTAAACTTGAGCGTCTCGATGGACGTGTGCGCATAGAAGGCGTCCCAAATGGGGTCCGAGCGCGGCACTTCGGGATTGAAGATCCAGCAATCGGCGCCGAGAAGCTCGCTGTTATTGCCGTGTGTGCAGTGGCACACGAGCTTCATTTTGGGGTTCTTCTCGCACAAATTCACACTGGTCATCGTCGTGGCGGGCGGAGGGAGGGTTGGTCTCTCCCATTTCGCTTCAATGTCCCACTTCACCTCCCTGTCCCTCACCCTGTCCCTGTGTTTACCTTCAATCAGACACGCTCCAATGGCCAAAATGAACACCAGATTCCTCCAACTCCCCATGTTGATCCTGCAAAAACAGAGAAAAGAGCAAATTTTCATGCATATTAATGAATATGAATTTCAACTCGTTCAAAGGGTAAATAAGTCGACTTGACAAGGTAAGATTTTTCTAATACAGAGTCCAAATTTGAAGTGGAAGCAATATAGAATTATATTCTCTAAATCGAACTAAACGAGTTCTCGGTAATGTACTTTATTCAGGCAACTTCTCTATGAGGAAATCACCACTTCTCAAGGCTACATATCACATCGTAACACTCTAGAAACAATTAGACTAATTATAATAGGCCTAACTTTTTAATAACATCAGCAATACAGTAGATGGTGTGTAGATAAACTTTCAGAATCTCTTTGTAATCCCGGGAAAAACTTTATTTTCTCAACTTGTAGTTCGCCAAGAGTGAAGGAGAGAAATGAGAGAATTCTTTCATGAACTTTTTAATCACTCCCGATCCAAGAATCGTATTTCTTTGTTTGCCAAATGGCACGTTTAAGTAATTTTCACGTGTATCGATGCCATTGGTGAGCGGTGAGGAGGGAAATAAAAAGAGTGATGAAAATACATGGGAGAAAATCACACTGTAATTAGGAAAGTTTTTGTCACCCTCTGATTTCCCTAATTGAACAACTCACAGTTCTCCCATGCGAACTCCAATCCTGGGATGCAATTAGAGTTTTCTGAATTATAACGATGTCAGGACGGGGAATTATCATCAATAATTACCCAGTTAGCTCAATTATTGCTCTACACTTTCTCTTATGCCTTCTCTGTGCTTTGCTGGCCTCCCTCTTCGCCACTCATTAATTGTCTTCAAGCAGAAATAATTGCAATAAATTTCCATCTTTTTTCTCCCTGAGCAGACACTCCCGCCGGAGCTTTTATGACTTCCATTACTTTTTAAAGGCACATCGTGAAACATTCTTGCGGAGAAGCGCCCAGGAACGGTGTCACAATGTATTAGTGACGGAGGGAAAAGCGTCTGGAGACATCCACTTATTGAAATTTAAAGTGACGAAAGATGCCTCACTTGAGTGATGCACTGTACTGTATGTAGCAAAACCCACTCTGCCCAATTGACTTCCGTCTCATGTCGCCGCCTCGACATGTCCAAAACGACGTCCATTGGAAGGGAAAAGCCTCACGTTCGGTGGCCTCAAAATGCCTGGCAGGGGATCGTCCTGGAATTACATGGTCTGACACAGCAACAAAACTATACCATTTCAGGGACATGATGAACACTTTTTGCCACCCCACTGCTGAATGCATCCCCAGGGGATTAAGTTTAATATTTTTTCACCAACACGGCAATTGAAAATGCTACTACTTTGAACCAATTGTCAATAGTTTTGCCATCTCCCAAAGTTTACCATTCTGAATATTTCATGCGACGTCTGTCGTGTGCAGTGGATATTATACAGACAGAAGAGGAGCACCATTGCTGGCGAAATTGTGATAGAAAATAGAAATAATGTGAAAATATTTTATTCACTTTGAATTTTTCAGCCGAAGGATTTGCATTTTGCTGCAGAAAATACATATATTACGGCAATATTGCTCGGGAGAGGGGAAAAAATACACTACACAAATTTTCCATTAGTCAACCAATGTACAGAGTAGCTTTTCAGGGTTATTCTGTGTCATACAGCTTTTACGTTCACCCTCGGAAAAAGGATTCAAATCCGTTGTGGGCTTCTTCAAATATTTACGCCTTTTTTTTAGAATATAAATCCTCTGGACGCCACGTGAAAACCATCCCAGTGAAATTAATGATTTCCGCCCTGCATTTTCAATCACGCTGATTTTCACTCTTTCATCTCGAATAAATCAATACGAGAGTGTAGCTAAATTTCCGGTGATATCAAACAGCGAAACGTGTAATGTACAAATTTTACTTCGCGTAATATCACCCAGCAAAGCATGCACAACTCGGCCAATCCCGACGTGGCTTCCGACCCGCTCAAGGCATTTCCTTGCCCCAATTCAAATGTCCTCTGGTGACATATGCAAACGTGCCCTCAGGAGAATAACAGAGAATTGTAATTTGATTTGCAATTCACATTTCGGTGAGAGCCTCCAACATTCTAAATCATCCACTCGCAGTGAAAGTTTCAAAAGTTTAATCTCACAGCCATACTAAGAGTTTTCACTTGGGCTGCCTGCGTGTGTGGGAGTGTGTAAATTTCTCAGAACACCCCTCGTGCCGTCACCCCTGCACACTTTTCACTTTTGTTATGTATGTAATATCCTAATGATATGCTGAATTAAAGCTTTCAGAATTACCTCACTCAAATAACAAAATTACGAGCGTATGGCGAGGTTGTGCCCCGGCGAAACTTTATAGCGCTCACCGAATTCACCATTCCATCATGCATCGTCGAAGTCGACCACCCACTCTCTGCCCAATTCATGCCAAGGGGAGCATAACCTAATTTTACGATCCAGAGTTTTGTTGTGCAAAATTTTCAAATACTCCTGACCACATGCAATCACTTGCTGCTCAATGCAATGCTCCGAAGGTCTGGCAAAATTCATATAAAAGAATTCACACTCAGAGCAGATCTACTCGACTGGCTTCGCCCAGATATTCCCCCCTTGGCGAAAGCCCACGAGCGAGGACTGTGTATGTGTGTGTGTGAGATGGGACGCGAGAGCCCCTCATGTGTGTGATGGTTTAATGTGGAATAATAAGAAGGGATTCTGGGCTGAAAGTTGAGGCTGGCGTGAAATGAGATCTCCACAGAATGGCTCTATTCATTCAGTGTTGAGTACACCGCGGCGGCTCAGTGGGTGGGATGATAAAGCTTCCATGAGGCAAAGTTTCACCGGAAGTTTTCATATTGTACATAGCCCGAATACAGAATAAGGCTTTTCCCCCACATCTCACATACGAAGTTCAACTTATGGGTGTGTGTGTGTGTGTGATTTCAGAGCGAAATGATATGGTATTGAAAGCCTCTCCTGTGCTTAATCCATCTACACTTTGCGATTTTTCACCTCCCACACCGCCCACGTTGGAAAATTTAATCTTACTGAACAAATTAGTCCTCTGCACGAGAAACCCCATTAGAGCGCCAGGCAGCAGTGTTGTGCAGGTGAGGAGCAGCCCCGAAAAGCCTTCGCCTTGACACACTTTTCACCGTCAAGAAGGTGAGATGCTTTCCTTTGATTTCCATCCCAACTTGCGAAAATAACTTTTCCCAGTCATACTCAAAATGTATTCCACTCGTGGTATTTAATCACATGTCATGCGATTCCCTTCAACACATGCTAAGCATTCAACAATTTCGCCACCCTCGCATTTCGGGCCGAGCATAGAGACACTCTGATTGAATGGAATACATATGACGACAGTGCTCAGAGATATTATATATTTACCCGCTCACTCAGATATTCACGAAATTCCATTCAAGCAAAAAGTTTCATTATCGAATTCACGAAAGTTTCATCTATTTCCAGAATTTTCCGTATATTCATTAACTTCCAAGCCATTGCAACAAATACGTCGAATTTTCACCTATTTTGATATTGATAAACTCCAGTTTCGTCTTATACAATTCAATTTGAATAGTAAGATGTGATTCAATGGATTCAAAGGAGAAAAATTGAATTGCATTTCAATAAAATTTCTCAGAAAATATTGACTTCTCCCGCCAATCTTAATAAAGTCTGACTTTTCCTTCAGCATTTCTCATTTTGAGACTAAATATTTAATGAAGATACTCATTAATATTGTAAAATGATAAAGTCTCTGACAAATGTGTGTAAAATTTAATTATAAATTCAACTTTAAAAGCAAACCAATTAAAATGCGATATAACATTGTAAGAGTTCAACGAAAAGGTAATCTTTATGTAGCACAATTTAGTGCAACAGCAACTTGTAGGACCGCCAGCACGTCGAAATGGGGCTCTAAAGTTAATGCAGAGCGAGAAATCCTGTATCGCGAATAAAAATCCACCGAAGGGATAAGTTTTATAGCCAATTTGAAGTAGGTGAAGCGAAAAGGAACGAGCAATTCCACGCGAGAGCTGAGAAAAATCTGTTGTCAATTTAGTCACGTGGAAAACATAGACTTCGGTTTGTGACAAAGTACAAATAATAGGAATCGACTTGAAAATTTCCATCGTCAACAAAGTGTGTCATTAATTCTCAGTTCATGGTCAATCGGCAAAAGAATAATTGCCATTCATCTGAGTTCCTATCCATTCAAGCATCCCCAGCGATAGTGGCTACTTTTGGACACATGAGCAGTGGACGATTCCACTTCAGAGGTCAATTAATGTGGCTACAGGAACAGTCGGAAATTATGGAGAATATCGGACACAGGCACGTCCGAAACTCATTGAGCTGGCGTGCCTTTCCTTTTCATCCGTCCCTGGCCTGGGGAGCACAATCAGCTCGAGAGATATTACCTTAAAGCTCCTTCGCTCCCCTCGCACACACACATCAATTGCCATTCAATTCAAATGGGCTCCAGCTATATTTTAGGGATAAAATAGGTCAATTGTGGATCTCAGAGCCAGCCTCTCTCCGGCTCCCCATTCCTCCTCATCAGCAGGAGAACTTGATAGATTAATATGGATCGGAAGTGAGGGCAAAACAATGCCCGAAAAATACTTTTTCTGCAATAAATTCAATAATAGGGGAGCAGAAATTAAGGGGTTACATCTAAGAGATGAGACTAATCCTCTAATTTCAAGCTTAATATCTTATCTCATAACTCTAGGACATAATGAAAGAATCCCTCGTAACTTAATAGAGTAGTAAAATATAAAATTTTAAATGGTTTTATATACTCCACATTTCACATTTCTTTGCCACACATTTCCACCCTCTAACATTCATTTTATAGCTTCCTCTGAGGAAATTTTCTTCACTCCACTTCCACTTGCGCTTCTGGCGAAAGGACGCAAGATCCTGGTGGAAAATGACAGCTAGCTCTCCGAATGTATTGCTTAAGCAACCACAGAATTATGCCAGACATGCAGTCATCGATTTCTTTTGCA